CGACTATGAGTACACCCCCCCCCCCCCCCCCCCCCCCCCAGGTGAGAACCCGGCGTGCTCCATTCTGGCTTTACAGGGATACGAGGTCAATAGTCCAACGACTAAGGCATGCACGACTACGAGCACACGAGCACACACACACCCGCCTTCTCACCTCTTCGACCTCAACAAAGTCCTTCTGGTCGTTTATCCCCGGCACGGACACGCAGCCGCTCTCTCGGAGGTAACGGAAGTGCTCCGGGGCCCCCAGCTCAAGGTGCGCGGCGATCTCGCTCATGCACAGCTGAAATAAAAAATCAAAAACGATCGAGCAAACGGTGTGATAGTGAAGGGTGGGGTGGGGGGCATACTCGTTGCTGGTTGGCTAATGAATGCGGTTAACCGTTGACCACGCGTCCCGTTTTGGCAGCTTGCGCGGCAGGTTTCGCTCTTCCTAACCGAGACACACTCCGACACCAACTTCGAAGGGCTCTGACCGTACATCAAAGCAGCATGGAGATTTGGTAGAGGTGGCGGGTGTAGCAATTTTTATAAACGCTCAACAGTGTCGCCTCTCACAAGGGGAACGTACACACACACCACACACCGAAGCCCTCCATCGGCACTTGGCGGTCCACTGCTGCTGGCAATCGTGTGTATGACGTTTCTTGTTCTCCCCGACAAAGGAAAGCAAAATTATCCGATACCCTTTTTATCAATGGACAGAGATGGATTTGGTGTGTTACTAATAAAAAATGCTGATGGCAATCGTGTTTGACGTCTTTTGTTTCCTCGAAAAAGAAAGCCCGAAATTATCCTGCATATTATCAACGGATTGAGATGGAGTTGGTGTGTCGCAAAAAAAAAAAGAGAGACGAAAAAAAGAAAAAACCCGCCCTCACCTGGTAGAATATGTGGAAGTTTCGCTCTCCCTTCGCCTGGGCCACGACCCTCTGTTTCTCGAGGAGGTAGTTCTCGATCCTCGCCCCGCACACCTGCAGCATGGACGGACGTACGAACCGTTTCACCGTGACGAGCAATTGCTCTTAGATAAGTCGTTTTTTTGTGAGACGATTCGTGTTTTTTTAGATGTTTGTTTCATTTTTTACCAAACCACGGGGAGAGGCCCAGCACAATGGCGCAATTTCATTCTTCACCCTCGCTCCCCGGACCTAACAAACAACAATCGGACTGAGCATCAATAAACACGTGTAACGCCACATTTTCCAGGTCCAAACTTCTCATTTCTGGCTTCGCACCCTCTCACCAATCGCAGCAAACGAACACATGATTTCCTGGGGGCGGGGGAGGGGTGTCGAAGATACATCCATCACTTCAAATCAGCGCTTACAGCATTGGGATGAAACCGCTTCTTTCTGGAGGCTGATCGGTATACCCGGTGAGTGTTGACAAAGAACAGTGCTTCAACCTTCACATTGCAACACGCACGCTAAAAAAAAAACAGGTGTGCCCGCACCCTCACGCCGACAGCGGAAAAGACAGATAAACAGACAAGAGACAGAGAGACAGCCAGCCAGCCAGCCAGCCAGCCAGATAGACAGCCAGACAGATAGCCTGAGAGACAGAGAGACATACACAGATAGAGAGACGGAGAGACAGAGAGACAAGACAGCCAAACAAGACGTGAACTCGCCTGTCCCTTGGGGTCGAAGTGCACCTCCGTCCACCGGCCGAAGCGGGAGGAGTTGTTGTTCCTGAGGGTCTTGGCATTACCGAAGGACTCAAGCACGGGGTTGGCGTGAAGGATGCGTTGCTCGACCGCGTTCTGGAATATGTAACGCCATCGGAAGCAAGAAAAAGAGAAAAAGCGTCAGCATGCAACGGCAACAACATTAGGATCAGCATAGCCACAACCAAGTACATGACTAGACTATTATGGTACGTACTTGGCGACGCAACAGAGTACACATTTAGTTCCATGACTCAGCCGGGTGCATACATATTGATGAGCGTACACTGAGCCTGGGGTGCTGATAATACGACCGAGCATCTGATTGTTGGTGGAATAGACCACACACCTTTCAGCATGTTGGGGTCTGATTGTTGGTGGAATAGACCACACACCTTTCAGCATGTTGGGGGCATGTTCGTCGTCATGTTTGTCGTGTTTCTTACTTGGCGTTCGCGTTCTTGACAGAATCAACTCTCGCGTTGTGGCACGCCACTGCTGGTTTGCGTCTCCTCCAGAGAAAAAAAAAAAAATTGCTTTCTTCGCGGGGGACATGAGTCTTTGGAAGCACAAAAAAACTCCAACCCGTCGTTTGGATGTGCTAACTTCACAATATTTAGCTGTGGCTCGGGCTAAGTGGAAGGAAGGATGCCCGCCATAAAAGTAAATCGACAGAGGTGTGGATGTGCTATCGTTGTCTGTGGTGGTGGTGGCCTTGGTGGTGGCGTTGTCACCATCCTCGTGGGTACATGCGCTCTTGACAGCTACACTGCTGTACCATCAATGAACAAAATGGACTCGTGGGCAGCAATCAGCACACGAGCTGCCCTCAGTAAACGGAGGACGCGGCGGGGGAGGGGGGGGATGTACTCTTTTGTTTTGCATGCCTTAGGGGGGTGGGAGGTGTTCATCTAGCGCACGGCGCGTACCTGGGAACCCGCCACCTCAGCCAAGAAGTTGAAGCACTGCTTCGTGGCTTCCGTCTTTCCCGCGCCGGATTCGCCGGAGATGAGGATGGCCTGCGAGACGTTCTCCTGGGTGAGCTTCATGAAGGCCGAGTTCGCGATCGCGAAGGTGTGCGGAGGGTCCAGCCGGTACGCCGACGGCTTGGCGTACTCCTCGATCGTGGCCGGCGAGTAGATCGGCAGCATCTTGAACGGGTTGATGGACACCAGCACCGAGTGGTTGGCCCCCACCCACGTGTAAATCAGGTCCCTGCGGTACCTCTCCCGGAGGTTGTGGACCATGAGTCCCTGCGACCGGAAAGCGTGGTTTTCGCGCGTGCAAGCATACAATGGAGAAGTAGGTGTTTTCAGTGTTCCGGAAGGCTTTTAATTTTGTGTGCTGACTGGTTCTTTGGTGTTGGTTGGCCCCCACCCAGGTGTAGATCTAAGTCCCTGCGGCGAAAATACGACTCTCGTGCGTGAAAGCACATGTTCGGCGCTTTCTGCGTGCTGGAAAGCTTTCAGTGCACTGCTGCCAGACTCTCTCACTCTCTCTCTCTCCCTTGTCTCTGTCTGTGTCTCCTTGTCTCTTTACTACCTCTACGTATATCTCGCTCTCCTCTCTTGCTCTGTCGTCTCAGAAACACAACTCAAGCCTTGACAAGCTCTGCCGTCGACGAACGTCTTTCCGCCCAAAAAAATCAAAACCACCTACCTGGTTGATCGCGTCCACCATGACGAGGTCATCCTCTACCCTAGACAGGGACGAGTGGTTCAAGGGCCAAAGCGGTTCCTTGGCCGACCGCTTCACCGTCTTCTTAGACCCGTTCTGCAGCTGGACGTTGGCGGAATCTCCCGACTCCTTGAGGATGCGCGCGGGCACCCAGCCGTCCTTCTCATCACTCACCTTCAGTTGAAGAGGAGAGGTGAAGAGGATTTTGTTCACGGGGTGCTTGCATTATGTATTTCGAAGTACAATAGTAGTCATTGCGACCATTGCGCGCGAGTCTTTGATGTGATGGGAAACCTCTGCTACCCTGAGCGTCTCGAACGGCTGCTGATGAGGGCGTTCCGTCCATGATCTTCATCGCTTTGGATTATGGTACGGATGAACCTCCGCAATTGAACACTCGAGACTCCCTCTGCCTCCCTGCCCACTCTCTCTCTTTCTCTCTCTTGATCGCACTCCCGGGAGGGCAGGGAAAACAGTTTTTTTAAGCCACTTTTGGCGAAGTAGGAAAGCATGATTGGCCATCGGTGATCGGTCCTGTGGGAACAATGCTCCGTCCTCTCGAGGACGCGTAGTCATTGATACAATACCTCACTAACGCAAAACATAATGTAAAACATGAGTACCCACCCCCCGCCCCCCGCCCCCCCCTGCGCGTTATCTCTCTCTCACCCACGCCCATGGGCCGCTGTTGCTCTGGAGCTCCTCCGGCGACTTGAGGCAGTCTGGCTTTTCCCACGTGACAGTCTCGCTGGATGGCTCGAAGTAGTACGGAACGTCGTCGGCTGTGCGCTTCTCGACCCAATTGGTCGACTGCGACAGTGCGGCCACCGCCGCGTCTGCAAACGAGCGCAAATTACGCGCGTGTGCAAGAAACGTCAGTCCCTTTGTCGTGACCAATCAACGTCGTCTCTTCTGGTACGAAAAGTTGCTGCTTGTTGCGTTTCAAACAACCCCACCAATGTAGAGTAGCGTTGCCAGGTTCTGCTCCTGATGGGCACGCCTACAACATTTGTGAGCCCTTGCGTGTGACGTGATGAACATCTCTTGGAGTGAAAAACTGGCGGGGGAAGCGGGAGGCGCGTCATGGATTGAAGAGAAAGCGTGCTCTTATCGACGGTATTCTCGGCAGACCTGACGCACGACTGCTGCTGAACACTTCCAGCAGGTGCTGTCAATAACGACAGCGATAAGCCGGTAGCGGCTGGCGGCGGACAAAAAAACACCCATTTTCACGTGCCCGGATTCGAACCCGGGACTTTGACATTGCAGGGATGACATCCTGCCGCTGACGCCACTTGTAAAAAGGGTGTTTGCCAGACGCCAGCCGGTCGGGTTCCGGTTACCGTACATGCTACGGGGGGTGCGTCGTGGTACCCGCGTATTTGTCGACGATGCTCAGCTGTCCGCTCGCTCGTATCCGGGGGGGTATGTGGGCACCACATGTCAGTATATAAGGCTTGGGGCACCTTATCTCGTGTCGGGCAAACACCCTTTTTACAGTAGTCATTTGGTAGGTGCTCTTCGAGATAGTTCACGCAGACCATGACCCGCTGCACAAACTATACAGGGAAGAGAAACGAATAAACCCCGGCAGATTGCCAAGAAACACAACATTAACGGCCACAATCAACATGCCATCACGCCCATGCACAAGGCCTGAGCATGCCACTCTCGACATGTCTCGCCGAAAACAAAGCCACTGCATCTGCTCTAAAACCAAAACCGAAAGGAGGGATGGGGAAGGGGAGCCAAAAGTTCGTTTGCACCGTTAATAAAAAGACCGTGGGATCTACGCCGAAATGAGAGTGGCACGTGGACGCGACGTGACGGGGGTTGTATGAGGAGAGGCATCCATGAAAGTGTGAGCCCGCCACTAGAGGAATTTGAGCCAGGAAGTCAAAGCTTGTTCGCAGTGTTCCACCGTTTCATGCGGCGTAATCAGCTCTCTCGAGGACACGGCAAGCTTTAGAAAATCACCATCACACCGCCAGAGGAATAATACCCGTTTGAGGCATTTGAAAGCCTGCCGTACACATAATGTATCACATACGTAATATTTTCTTGTTTTTGCGTTTTCTCAATATTGCTCAGCGAATCCACCCCTATCCACGGATTGGAGTCCAGGATTTTTCTTTGTTTTCGTTGAGGTTCGGTGGGCTATTCGAGTAAAAAGCACAACAGCTGTTGGCACGACTCTGTTCTTTCACGAGCCTACTTCGTAGGCATCACTCGTAACAGGTGATGTGTTTGATTTCTTGATGGTGAGGGCTGAGTGTCGTCTGCTGCATACTGGAGTTGACAGCAGTTGGAGCCTCTCTAAGTCTGTACACCGAGCACCCAAGTTCTGGACGACAAGTGCTTCTTGTTGTCATCGGACGATGGCCCTTGGGAACCATTCCGATGGCGGCCTGCTGCCGTTTCAGGCTCACAGACACGCCTCCTTTCCGCTGTGATTCCCAACATACGATACAAAAAAAAAAGCTGGAACCAAGCCATCGTTGGCCCCTGCAGAACACGGAATGAGCTCATGACTAAAATACACCTGTGTGCATAATCAAGTGCGGCTCGCAGGTGCTCGCGGAAATTTGCGCGCTAGAGATCCTATGTTTTTCCAATCCATCGGGGCCGCTTTGGTCTCTCTCTCTGCTTGGGGGACGAGAGTGGTTCTTCTGTGGACATTTCTTGGCATTATGCCGGGGACAGAGCAGTGTTTCCAAAAATGCGAAAGCCTTGCGATCCACCGTCAAACAGCAGGGGCACACTACACGCCTCCAAACATAGGGAAGCACTTCTTTGTTGCTGGTGATGGTGTACACAGATGATGATAGTTCGGTATTCCAATCCCCGAGAGCACGAGCCGCCGGTTGCGATCTCAAGGCTGTCTACTACAGATGATCGACAGGAAGGTCGGCCAACAGCTGCCGGATGTGCCCCGTCGGTATATACTTTAGGGAGTATGATTGTACAGTCCCAAACATCTCTCGTCTCTACGTAAATTTGTCTGCGTTCATTCCATCCCGTCGGCCATATTTGGACGACTTCAAAAACGTACGAAGGTCAGCAGCGCTGGTTTCCCCGCCCTCGACGCCACGCACCCTCATTTCCTCACTCTTTCGTATCAGTGGGAAGGACCAATCCGGAGAGTACTGAAGCTACTCGGAGGCGTGTTCGTCAGGATGGTGCTACACGTCACTGGTAGTGGCGACAGCGTTGCAGAAAAGCATCCAAAACTACGCATAGAAAATCCGACAAGCACGACTGCCGGAACGGCCTCCTACTCCCTTGTGTTGTAATGAGGTCGCTCTGTTCTCCCACGGGTCTCCTGATCGGTCACTAGCGTGACAGCTCACGGCCAATCGCAAGCGCAAACGAAACGGTTTTGCTTGCTGCTGCCCTACGACTGAGGCTTCGTGTATCAAGTGTGCTTTGTACCCAGCCGCTTCCCTCTCGTCACGAATCGAACTGTGCTCAAACGCTTGTATCGAGCACCGTGAGAGTTGACGGAACAAGATGGTTGCCACAGCTCTTTGAACACTGACCGCTATTGGAGCGGTGCATGACCTAACAGCTAACAGCAGGGTTTAGTCTTACCAGCTGCGGTGTACTCGTGAAATCCGCTGACCTATTAGAATAAAACCATCGGCGGCGGGGGACGTATGCTGAATGCTCATTCGTAGGCGCCAATACGATTAATGTATTGCATCTGACTGTCTTCTCCTCCTATGCATAGCACCTATGCGTCAACACGTCAACACTTTCAAGGTGACAGTAGGCGAAGTAGTACCGTCGTCTGCACGCAGAACAAGGAAACAAAGAAAGCACATCCCTTTCGACTGAGGGTTATCTCGAACGGGTAGTCTTTCATGAGGTTATGTTTACTTTCTAAAAAGAAGAAAGTGACCACTGTTGTGGCAGTGCCTGCTGAAAGCATCGACTTTCAAGTAACAGAAGTGCGCCGCGCCAGGCGGTGGTGCTGCGTGCACTCTCTCTGAATCAACAAGCCTTCCAAAACGAGACCTAGCCCTAACCCATTGTTGTATTTACATGTATCATGACGGGTCGTTCCTTTCGGAACAACAGCAGCGCTTGTATTTATTCGCTCTCCGCACAATCGATCTCGGAGCAATTCTCCATGGTACAACAGTTTACGACAACAAACAAAACGAAGCTCTGTTCTCACCTGACATGCTCTGAACCACGGCTCCACTAGCCTGCGCCGCTGCGTATGCACCCCCCCCCCCCCCCCCCCCCCCCCCCCCCCCCCCCCCCCCCCCCCCCCCCCCCCCCCCCCCCCCCCCCCC